TGAATAAGATACAGTAACGTGGCTTAGTCTCAATCATACATACACCAGTTTGGTTCACACAGAACACCTTTACATAAAGCACAGACCCTGAACCTATCAGTTCTGGCTACCCATAAAGACACCTGAACCTATCAGGTTGGTACTGACTGACACACAGTAGTACCCTGTCTGACACACAGACTCCCACACCAGCTTCTTCTCTCAGCTTCTTCTCCCAGCTCTCCAGCTTCTCCACACAAGCTCCACATATATATACAGTACAGCCCCTCCTCCTGATGTCCCGCCTTCCACTCCCCATAGGATGGAACTTTCCCTCCAAACCCATGACAGACAGGTAACATCAGTGCTGTATGTAACACTTTGTAGCTTGTTTGCCCCAGCAGTTAAGACAGTGTGCGACTGGAGGAGGCTTCAGGATGCCTGGTAAAGGAAGGTGCTGCTTTCTGCTTTTTAAAAACTGTTCAGAGTGGGTTTTACAGCGTGGTTTTGGGCTGGGGGGGTTATGTTTCTGTGCTGTGATGGGTCCTGGGGGGTTGCTTGCTTTGGGGTTTTTTTTCTCCATTTCCGATGGGTCTTGGAGGGGTTTGGGTGCTTTTTGGGGGTTTTTCTCCCATTTCCAATGGGTCTTCCATGCTTCCCTTGCTTTTTGCTTTGCTTTCTTTGCATTTCTGATGTGCTCTGCTTGCTTTGCTTGCTTTTTGCTTTGCTTTCTTTGCATTTCCGACGTCCTCTGCTTGCTTTTTGCTTTGCTTTCTTTGCATTTCCAATGGGTTTTGCTTGCTTCGCTAGCTTTTTTCCCCCCTCCCCTTTGGCCGGAAGGGATTAATCATGTTTCCAATGGGTCTTGCAGTGATTTTGTTGTTGTTGTTGTCATTTTTTTCTTAAGCCGGAATGAATTAATTGCATTTCAATGCATTCCAATGGGAAATGGTGCTTCAACTTACAACCATTTCAAGTTAAGACTGGAGTTCCGGAACCAATTGAGTTCGTAAGTCAAGGCACCACTGTACCATGTATTTCTTAACAAAACAAATACTGACTGGACACAAGACCATCGTATCTAAGTGCCAACTATTTGAAGACACCTGCTGTAGAAAGCTTCATGGGAGTTTATGTTTTCCAAATAACAGCCTGAAAACACATACGGAAATTATTTTGAAAATTAACTCCAAAACAATTTAGAGCAGAACACAAAGATTTGAAAGAAAAGTGCATACGAGGGGGCACTGATAAGTATTGAGCCTTACCCAGAAAAAATTGAGCTAGGAAGCTATAAATTGCAGGGTGCATTGGCCAATTTGTCTATATTCAACGGTGCAAAAATCAACTACCTATGATTTTAGTTTATCTTTCATGTTCAGCTCCGAAGTGAACATGGCAGCACCTCCAGAAAAGTTCAATGTGGAAGAGCATAGGATCATAATCAAGTTCCTATTTCTCCAAGGGAAAGATGCAAAGCAGATCCATGATGAAATGTCACAAACTAT